GACTTGGATGAGGGTGTGGAGAGCACCCTGTCCAAGTTTGCAGATGATACCAAATTATGGGGCAAAGTTAACACAGCAGAGGGTAGGGAACAGATCCAGGCAGATCTGGAAGGGTTGGAAAAATGGGCAGAATGAAATAGGATGCAGGTCAACGAAGACAAGTGGAAAGTGCTGCACCTGGGCAAAAAGAACTACCAACACACTTACAGGCTGGGGGAGGACCTTCTCAGCAGCACTGTAGCGGAAAGGTATCTCGGAGTCATAGTGGACTCCAAGATGAATATGAGTCATCAGTGTGACAATGATCAACAAGGCTAACCGCACTTTATCATGGATTAGCAGATGCATGACAAACAGGTCCAGGGAGGTGATGCTTCCCTTCTATGTGGCACTGGTCAGGCTGCAGCTGGAGTATGTCCAGTTTTAGGCACTGCACTTCAAGACGGATGTGGAGAATCTTGAGAGGGTTCAGAGGAGGGCCACTTGTATGGTCAGAGGCATGCAGGGAAGGCCCTACAAGGAGAAACTGAGGGACCTAGAACTCTTTAGCTTTTGCAAGAGAAGGCTGAGAGGTGATCTTGTGGCTGCCTATAAATTCACCAAGGGAGGGCAGCAGGGAATAGGAGATGCTCTATTGATTAGGGCATCCCCTGGAGTGACTAGGAACAATGGCCACAGATTGACGGAGATCAGATTTAGGTTGTACATTAGAAGAAACTTCTTTATGGTAAGGGTTGTCAGACTCTGGAACAGGCTTCCAGGGGAGGTGGTGTTCTCCCTTACCCTGGGGGTCTTCAAGAGGAGACTGGACAAGCAGTCTGACCCCAGCACTCTATCCTGCCTAGAGCAGGGTGTCAGACTCAATGACCTACTGAGGTCCCTTCTGACCCTAACACGTATGAATGTTCCTTCTGCAGTCCTCTGTGCTGGCATACTTGTAGTGTAGGCTGGCTTAATGTGACCATTGCTCTTATATAACCTAATTTGCCTGGGGAATGCCATTGTTTTGATACAGGTGTTCCACGTTTTCTTGACCTTTCAGTTGTTTGAGGCACTGACCTTCGGCAGTCAAGGGGTCAGATATGAATTTTTCCAAAACATTGGGTCGGGTATATAAAGGGCATTGCATTGTACATCAGGGACACTTCACTGAAGACCAGAATGTTCATGCAGGTAGTCAGTCCCATTCACAGAATTTCTTCCTTTTTTTTTTTTTTAAACTGTAATGCCTTTGTACAAACTAAAAAGTGACAGATGACTCGAAACAAAATGTTCACCTTCAGGGGACAAAATACAGCAAGGGGGGGAAGGATAGATATAACCATGTGGCGCAGGCCACTGAAAGGAGAATGGTGGTTTGAAAACTTCTATTCTCTGCAGATCATTCTGTTGATACCATTGTTTGAAAAAGCTGCTGGGCTTGCCTGTGTACTTTAGGATGAAATACTCATGGTGTGTTACAGAAACAAATCCTTTCCATCATTGTGTGATTGGTTTACTGTGGGTGTTATACAGACAGAAAGATGAATGCTGCCCTAACATGCTCGTTGTGCACAATTCACTTGAATCACAACAGAAAATGCAAAGGGGGGATATAGCCTTTTTGAGTTCCCTGATGAAGGTGCTGGCATTGCAGTGGTTCCAGTGCTCCAGCAGACAGGTGAACAATTAAGTCTTTGGCAGACAGTGAATTAGAAAGATACAAGTCCAAATAAGACCTAGAATTACCTGCCTGTCATTTAGCTTTCAGACCTCTATTAGTGAGGTGGAAAGAGACTGAGCCTAAATAACTGAATCTTTTGGATTACTTAGTTTTCATAGTGACAGTAACGTGTGCTCTTTCCTTTCTACACAAAAAAAGCAACAGAAAAAGAGTCCTGAGTGCAGTCCTGAGTGCTGGGATAGAGAAGCTCTTTAAAAATATTTAAAGAAATTATGCTCTTTTCTTTACAAAAAAAATCAAAAGAGTTAGAACCTTCTGATTCTTAAGTGTGCCTAGTGACTTGTCAGGGGACAAGAAACTAACTGTTAAGTAGTCCCTCTCCTTCCCTTGTTTTTTAATATTCTTTTATGGTATATTTAAATCCAAGACCTGACTATGTGAGCTTGTCAGTTGGGAAGTTGTTATCTCTCGCACAGTTCCTGGTGCACTTCAGATTTCCAAACAACATAATTCAAAATTCATAAATTGGTGGTAATAACAGTAGCTTCTATTCTCACAGCTACAGAGAAGCTCAAGAGCATTTGAGCACTTTGTGATTCAGCCACAGATTTGCTTTGATCTGCAAGTGTTGTGGGTTTTTCTCCTTCCCTGAATTTAGGGAACTTGGCTTCATCAGTAAAGTTCTAGAATAGAAAGAGGCAGGAGTCAGTAATTTCAAGTGGTTTGCATAGAACATTAGAAACTTTAATCTGAATTTAGCTGTTTTGACACTTCAGGTTATCTGAATCACAGATCATAGTAGTTTCTAGGGTTTCATAGTTTCTAGGGTTGGAAGGGACCTGAGCAGATCATCTAGTCCGACCCCCTGCCATGGCAGGAAAGAGTACTGGGGTCAAACGACCCCAGTAAGGTGGTCATCCAACCTCCTCTTAAAAACCCCCAGGGTGGGAGCCTGCACCACCTCACTTGGAAGCTGGTTCCAGACCCTAGCC